TATTTAAAAGAGATAATCAATAAGGACATACTCTGTAGCACATGGAACTCTGCTCCATATTATGGATGGGAGGGGAGTGTGGGGGAGAATGGATACATGTATATGTATGGCTGAGTCCCTTCGCTGTCCACCTGAAACTATCATAGCATTGTTAATCGGCTATACTGCAACACAAAATAAAAAGTTTAAAAATCCTTAGTGTTTCCAATTAATTATCAGCTGATTGATGGGCATGAGGATAGGAATCTATAAATGAAAAAGCCAGAAGCTTTAAAATGAGATCAAGTTGAACTACTTGATATGTGGTGATAAACAGAATCAAAAGAGAATATACTAAATGTGACCCTTGCAATGATCTTAATCAGTCAGATGATTAACAGATAATTTTAAAAAGAGCAAAAAAACACACACGAGTGATTGACTATAATGAATCTTTTAGAAAGATTTATTACAGCTTAAAGAGTCAAGAAACAATGAAAGATAACCTACTGTAGTACAGACGGTGGGGAAAAGAGAAATGAGAATATGAACAACTGAAAGGAGGTAGCAAATTAGCTGGGATAAAATTATGTTTTCTATTTGATTGGCTTTTTAAGACATTCTATGTGGCTTAAGTACTTTATAAACAAACAACAACTTTAAAATACCAACCAGGTGGGTGCATTTGTAGGTGCAAAAAGGAATAGCAATTTAAAGTGTCTGGGATCTTCCATCTATACATAATTTTACTATAAGGCTGTTAACCTTTAAGATAATCTTACAGTGATGTGAACATTCTATACTATTATCAAGTCAGAAGTACATCTTAAACATTAATTGAATATTTCATTAAGTATCAGTTGAGAGTATCAATTTTTAAAAAAGCAACATGCAAGAAATCACAAAAAGAAAATAAAAAGACTTAGAGAATCAGTGTTCCTGGTAAAGGAACAGCCTCTAGAATCTTTCTTCTAATAACTGTCCTATAGGTGTTGGGAAGAGTAACTAATAAAAGGCAGCAAAGTATCACACAACATCCTCACATTCAGCATTTCCTAGTGAGACCATCCTGTGTATTCTATCCCAAACTGTCCTGCTCTTACACGGTAGCTATATCCACATCCACGTTTGTTTCAGTGGATGTCTTCCTGACTTGGGAAAGACAGACACAGCACCTGGCTTAGTGCCTTGTCCATAGTACAATGCTGCAAATACACACACGCTGGGCTGAGTCTAAATGCTCCAGTTTTCATCCTACGATCACCTCTAACAGTATCGTTACTCTCAGTGTAACTGTCATGTATAACTCAGCATCCTTATTCGTTCAAGAAAGCTCAAAGGACAGCACTCTTCCATTGTTACTGCCCACCCCCAACCCCAGAAGCTCTGCTTGCTATGCCTTCTTTTATACTCCCCATTTTAGTGACTGGCATCCCCATCTACCTGCTTAGTTGCTCAAACCAGAAAACTGCAAGTCAGCTGTGATTCTCCTTCTCTTCCTCCCCCATAACCAGTAGTTCACCAAACCTAGTAGATTCTACCTCATAAATCTTTCTCACGTGAAATTATTTCTAAATCCTGGATCAAGTCATCACCTTCTCTCACCTGCATCAAGGCTTCTAAAGGTCTTTCTCTCTATGACAGTCCTGACCCAGTTCAATCTACTCTCCACAATGCAGGTTACAGACCTCTCTAAAATATGAATCTGAATTATTTTCTGCTTAAAAATCTATAATGTCACACTATTAGGATGGCTATTATAAAACAATTAAAAAAAAAACAGAAAAGAACAAGTGTTGGCAAGGATGTGCAGAGCAGCTGTGGAAACAGTGTGGTGGATTCTCAAGAAGTTAAACATAGAATTACCACAAGATCCAGTGATTAACTTCTGGGTATGTAACCAAAAGAAGTGAAAGCAGGAACTCAAACAGGTATCTGTAACACCCATGGTCAGAGCAGCACTGTTCACAATATCCAAGTGTCCACTGACAGATAAGTGGATGAAAATAATGTGGTATATACATACAATGGGGTATTAATCAGCCTTTCTAAGGGAGAAAATTTTAATACATGCTATGACTTGGATGAACCTTAAAGACATTATGCTAAGTGAAATCAGTCACAAAGGAACAAATACTGTATGATTCCATTCATATGAGGTACCTAGAGCGGCCAAATTCCTGGAGATAGAAAGTTGCATGGTGGTTGCCAAGGGCTGGGGAGGGAAGAATGGGAAATTATTGTTTAATGGGTATGGAGTTTCAGTTTGGGAAGATGATGGATGTACTGGAGAAAGGATGGTGGTGATGGTTGCACAACAATGCGAATGTACTTAATGCTACTGAACTGTATTCACAGGAATGATTCAAATGATACATTTTATGTTCTGCATATTTTTTTCACAATAAAAAAGTCACGCACACACAAACATCCACACTGCCTCTCACTGGCTCAGGATACCGTCCAGAAACCTCAAGTGATTCACATGCCTCTCAGGAGTTAGTCCCAGTACCTCTCCCCTTGCTAGTACACCTTCTCTAGCGCCTAGTCGTACTCAACCATGCTGGAGTTGCGTTCACACCACTTTGTAAGTCTTTACACAGACCAATCCCACTGTCAACCAGACCACCTCTTTTCCATTTGTAACATTTTTCATTTTCACCCCTTCTTGGTATCTCTTATCACAATAAGAGATAAGAGCTGCCTGTAGCCGCCTGTTTGCTTTTCTGTCTCCCTCCCTACTAGCTTACAGTTTTATGAAGGAAAAAAAAAAAGTCTCATCTCACTTGGAATTATATCTTTGGTGCCTGGCACACATAAATATTCAGTAAATACTACTGATTATATAAATGTTAAATACATAATTGTAGCAGATAGGGAAGAATTTCTGGAAGCACATATTTTACAATAAAGTATGTAATATACACAACTGGACACATACCATTCCTTCACCGGCATCTTTAAAAAATTCTATGTCTGTTACAAATGGTTCATCAAAAGGTTCAAATTCTTGAGATAAAATTCTCATATGAAAAATTTCTCACATAATATTCCAGTTTCTTCTACAGTTTTTCCTGATGGGCAAATATGATACTTTAAAAAAATCAGTTTGTCTTTTTAATACCATTCTATTTAAAGTCATATGCATATAGGACTCTCATTCCTTTAAAATTAGATCATTGAGAAATGTTAAGTCAGAATCCTGAAAGTACTGATATGTCTGTCATGTTGAAACAATTGGTCTCTTGCCCATTGTTCTACTAGTTTGTGACAGTTTTTTGTGTGTGTGTGTGACAGTTTTTAAAGGAGGAATCAGCTTCAAAATATCATCTCACATCCTGAAACCATATAATTTATGATTCTAAAATATCAATACTTACGACCATATAATTTTAAAATTAATCACTTAAACTGTTTCATTCAAAGTGGAAAGAGTCTGAAACTAGCCATGCAGCACAATGCTGTCAGGACCAATCTTATAAGAAATGGCTTTCGTGAGTGCTTTTACCATAGTTCTATAAACTAAAAGATTCTCACATCTGATATAAAAAAACTATTCAGCAACTGTAGAAACAAGCTGCAGAGGATCTCCATGCCCTCCCTCCCATCCCTTGTCCTTTTCCCCATCTTTCTCTTCCTCTCTTTTCAAAGGACTGAAACCAGATAATCTAAGCAGCATCTAAAACCTGATAAAAGTGAAAAGTATTTATTACTTAATCCCTGTCTGGATGTGATTTAAAAAAAATTGAGATACAACTGACATATAACATTAGTTTCAGGTGTACAACATAATGATTCGATATTTGTATATACAGCCAAATGATCACCACATTATGTTTGCTTACCATCCATTACCACATATTTACAAATTAATTTTCTTGTGATGAGAACTTTTAAGATCTACTATCTTAGCAACTTTCAACTGTACAATACGGTATTATTAACTATGGTCACCACACCGTGCATTACATCCTCATGACTTATTTATTTTAGAACTCGAAGTTTGTGCTCCTTTACTTACAAGTGAATTTGCTACCTGCACACGATGAATTACTACTCAGCAATAAAAAGGGGAAGTAACACACACAGCAGTTAGATAGTCTCAAAAATGTTAAGAGTCAAAATTGTCAGATACAAAAGGGTACCTACTGTATGATTCTGTTCATATGAAGTTTTAAAGCAAACAAAAAAATCTATGGTAACAAAACTCAGAACAGTGCTTCTGGTGAAGAGAGAAGGAATGGATAAGCAGTGGCACAAAGGAACTCTCTGGGGTGACAGAAATATTTTACATCTGACCAAGGTATGCATTATACCACTGCATACATTTGTCAAAGCTGATCAAACTATACACTTAAAATATATGCATTTCCCTGTATAAAAATCATACCCTAATTTTAAAAGAGAATGTCCTCTTCTAGCTCTTTTAAAACTTTTTATTACCAAAAAATATAATTCTTGGTCTCTGTTAAGTACTTAGGATTTTATAAAATATGTTATGATTGCTCACCTGCAGTATGTGTGACTTTAAACTTACTCATGAAAAAAAAAAGCTGGAAAGCACATATCAGAGAAGTCATCGCCTGAGATAGGAAGGAGAACTGGCAATGACAGAGATTTTCTAGTATTTTTCAACCTATCAGATCTGAACATGCTTTTTTTACAAAACAATTTTTTTAAAGTTCTATGCTACAGATTTATAGGTTCCACCTGCTGTGAAACAAATTGTTGCTTTTGTATCATCTCAATATACTACATAGTCAGTCCAACCATTTGCATAGAAACTTTGAGTACAGCAGTAATGAGGCACTTGGTTTTACACTTCTTTTTCATAAATGTTGATCACTATCAACAGTAGCAAATAAAGACTCCTGTTTAGGCAGCCTCATCACAAATATATCCATCTCCCATGTTTAATAACAGAAATTACTGACAATAAAATCTTTTACTGAACTTTATACTTCAAGTTCTAGCAGGGACACCTAACCAGCTTACCAACAGGAAAAAAAGGAAGAGAGGGTTTAACTGACTAAGAAGTCAATGGATAAACAGGTCAAATAATACTTCATTTGCATTTTAATAGCCTTCACACCATCAGTAAGCAGTTTCATTAATTCCCTTTTCCTGATACATTCTTCTCTCCTCCTTTTGGAGAAATCAACACAAGCAGTCACATTCACATGGAATTAGCTGAATGCTAAAGTCCAGCAAACCTTGTGGACCACTCACCTGATGTTGGCTATGTGCTGCGGCACATGCTGATGCTGAAAATGGTCAGGCCACGGATGATGCAGGCAGAAGGATGGAGAGGGCTGAAGACAGCACGTTGTCTGATAAACAGGTGAATGGTTTGGACAGAGAGATGCAGAGTACTCTGAGTGTGGCTGCATGCAACACGAGGCCAAAGCAGGAGGTGCTGCGGGGCCAGCCTCGGGATGGCACTCTTGGTGACTGTCATGGGAAGTCAAAGGGTGATGGTATGGGCAAGGATGGCAGCACTGGGGTAACACCGGAGGCGTTCTTTGGTTGTCTAAAGGCAGAAAGGATGATTTAACTGTGCCATTAACTTGCAGGCATCCATTTGGACTCACTTTTGTTCTGGGTGCTTCTTTGGGTGCGAGCTGCTGGGCTGCAGGGTCTCCATCACCGGGGGTGAGGGGAGAAGGGGTGGTAGCACTGGTTGCGATGCTGCCATTGCTCAGAACCATAAAATCGCTGTTTCCGTTGCTCATAGCCATGCTCCAGTTTCCTGACCCTAAGAAAGAAAACGATATAAAATCAACCACTTACAGTCAGGTAGACAATTACGTAGAAAAGACGGGAAAAATATTTTAAAACAGCTCTTTGAAGACAAGGGTTCTTGCAGGAGTTGTGAAAGCTTTAGGGGAAGCCCTGCCACTCGTGCAACAGAACCAGCTGGTAAGTTAGCCCTCTTCTCTGCTCCCAGCCACACCAGGCAGAGCCCTCTCCCGTCCCACTGACCACCTCCTCCCTGTGTGCTGAGTCACTCAGCCATGTCCGACTCTCTGCAGCCCCAGGGACTGCAGCCCGCCAGGCTCCTCTGTCCATGGGGATTCCCCAGGCTAGAATACTGGAGTGGGCTGCCATGCCTTCCTCCCTGCCCCACCTCTATTTTCAGTATCTATCTTCTCTCCTCATCCCAGATGTGAAAATCATCAGTTAAGAGTCAGAACATTTGGGGACTTCCCTGGTGGTCCAGTGGTTGAGAAGCCACCTTGCAATGTAGGGGACATCGGTTCCATCACTGGTTGGGCAATCCACACACCACAGGGCAACTAAATCCATGCACCCCAACTACTGAGCAGGCTCTGGAGCCCATGAGCCACAACTAAGACAAGATGCAGTCAAATAAATAAAAAAAAAAAAAAAGAATTAGAATATTTTAAGATGGGGGTGGGGAGGTGGTAAAATAGAGAGGGGATACCAATATCATTCTTCAGCTTTTCAATAATATCATGCTTGAGATGTTCTGATACAGAAACAATAGGCAAATGAAGGGCGAGGGTGATTATTTGTGAGGGCAATTAGTTGTGTGGGTTAAGATAATGTGAATAATCTTAAGAATCTCTTATATCTTTTAAAAGTGTCAAGGAAATAAGATTTTCCGTCTAAGTCACTCAGGTCTTAGAATAAGAATAAACAAAAGAAAATAGAAACCAATCAGCTAAGCTAAGAACTGTGGCCACCAAGATATCAGATGCAAAAGATTTATCCCCTAAACCAACAACTGTAATGCTAAAAAAAAAAATAAACATAAGTTGCCATGATATTATTAACTTGTTTTCTGTTATGTCCTATAGGGTAGTATTGCTTGCACATAAGAAAAATAGTACTATGGCTGGGATTTGCGTCAAGTAAGATTTTTTTATTATTTTTTTCCCCCTCCACCAAAGGGTCCAGGCCTTAAATATAAAGGAAAAATTAAGTGTTCAAATTACCAGCTATAGTTTTTTCTGCCTGGTCAACAAACAAAAGCAAAACAACCTTCTTTCTTACTTTACCACCTTCTGACCAACACACATAGAAAATCTGGAAATGCAGTAAGAAAAATGGGTTATCAAATGCTATTGGTTTATTTGACCTATACATGATGCCAAGAATAAAAAAAGAAAACCATTGTTTGGCTCACTAACCCTTCAGGCACATCATTCTTCTGAGTAGACAAAACAACTTCAGGAGAAATCTCTCTCCAGTCCCTCCCTACCTCTGGCAGACACACAGTTACCAGAAGAAATCATCACCCATGAGGATGATTCCTATGCATATTTTCACCCAGATTACAAACTACTCAAAAGGCACCTTTCTGAGCAGAGAATGCCAGAGCAATGCATAATGTTTCAATCTGAATACTAATACCCAGAAGATACTCTTTGCTGTTGTGGTTGTTCAGTTGCTAAGTCATGTCCAACTCTTTGTGACCCCATGAACTGCAGTACAGCAGGCTTCTCTGTCCTTCACCATTTCTCTGAGTTTCTTCAAACTCATGTCCATTGAGTCAGTGATGTCATCCAACCATCTCATCCTGTTGCCCCCCTTCTCCTCTTGCCCTCAATTTCTCTCAGCATCAGGGCCTTTTCCAATGAGTCAGCTCTTTGCATTAGATGGCCAAAGTACTGGAGCTTCAGCTTCAGCATCAGTTCTTCCAATGAATAGTCAGGGTTGATTTCCTTTAGGATTGACTGGTTTGATCTCCTTGCTGTCCAAGGGACTTTCAAGAGTCTTCTCCAGCGCCACAGTTTGAAAGCGTCAATTCTTTGGTGCTCAGCCTTCTTTATAGTCCAACTCTCAATCCATACATGACTACTGGAAAAACCATGGCTTTGACTAAACAGACCTTTGTTGGCAAAGTGATGTCTCTGCTTTATAAAACACTGTCTAAGTTTGACACAGCTATTCTTCCAAGGAACATCATTGTACCACGATGCAAATTTAGCATTTCTGACTTATTATCTTCATTTTTAGCTTTTTTGTTTTTGTTTTAGGTTTTTTTATGTGGACCATTTTTAAACTCTATTTAATTTTTTACAATATTATTTCTGTTTTCTGTTTTGGTTTTTGGGCCATGAGGCATGCAGGATCTTAAGTCTCCAACCAAGGATCAAACCCATACCTCCTATACTGAAAAGCAAAGTCTTAACCACTAGACAGCCAGGGTAGTTCCCAACTTATTTTTCTTTCAGACACAGCTCATCAAACACACACACACACACACACACACAAAGCTATATAAACATCAACACTATTAGAAATGGAAGAATAAATGTGGACATTAAAAATTTTCTTTATAAACCATTTTAGTGGAAAAGATAAGGCATTTGTAAATACCAAACATATATATAAATTAAGTAGATGCTACTTCTCTCATCAGCCTTACCATCACTTTTGAAAGTGGTCTGCCAGTCCCAAGTTCCTATTATAATGACCACTGAGAAAGATTTTCAATTGTAGCAAAAGATTGTCCTGTCCTTCAGTTAAATCACTCCTGGGTATAAATATACACTATAAAACATTCACATGATATCCCCAACACAGAGCATTTATAGTTAAATGTATTACCCAACTAGTGGGAAGACAGTGTAGATAAACTGGTTAAGAGCCCTAAACTGACCCAGGAGGCACAGACTAATTTTCTTTCTATCACTTTCTTAATCTGCCATCTCAGCAAGATCTGCTACCTTAAGTTCCCATTTACTGAAGGATATAACCTTCTTTCTGTTGTTAACAAAACAAAAAGCTGTGTGCAAATGTTCTAAAAATGATAAAACACACTAATCAGGGGCCATCTAAAAAGGCACCGGACTTTTAAAAAGTTACCTGAAATTTAAGATGTTTATTTTCACAGTTAAGTGAAAGACCATCTAGAAAATGTAAGAAGTAATCTCTTGATGAGATAAATGTAGTCATTTCTCAGCATCAGAAACTCTTGTTGTACAAATGCTCTAGAGAAATCATGGAAGGCACATGCTTTCTCTTGCCTTTACCCATGACTCATGTTCCCAAGACTTCTCTGTAGACCTCAGCCAAGCTACTGGAGCTGATGAGATCTGCTGAGAAAATCAGGACCTCCTCCTGGCCCTTTCATCAAGATAGACAGAATAGGAATACTCTTTTTCTGGTCTATTGGTTTGTTCTGGCCATACTAGGTAGGTTAATATCATTTCAGAGGGTCTATTTTGGCTTAATTCAATCAGTCTTACTGCTTCTAATCATAGGTATCAGGTGAGTTAGGCTAGTGAGAAGTATCTAACAAAAATCTTCAAGGTTTTGAAGTGAAACTGACTTTCAGAGTGACATCAACCTTAAATGCTTGTGAAAGTACCCTGAGACCCCCTCTAGACACTCCAAAAAATCTCTGTTTCCCTGTCTTCTCATTGACTCTGTTTCTCATCAAGAAAAATAATTTCTCTTTTTCTGTGTAACAAGAATGAAAACTATCATTCTCTCTCATTTTTATTGCCAAAGCATCATTTTGTAGTTACATAAGAGTTAAATATATTTTTGAAGGTCAGCCAAGGGACCTAATCATTATTTATAACATTTTTCCCCCCGGTGTGGTAAATAGCAGTTCAAGTGCCAAATAACTTACTTACAAATGAACTTTTGGAACGTAACTTGTTTGGTAACTTGGAGACTTCTTGTAATGAAGTAGGTACGAATGGATAGTAAAGAATAATTGAACTATGACTTTGGTTTGTATTTGAAGTAACTCATATGAGCTTTCTAAGATTCAGTTTCTTTAAGTGTAAACTGGGAACAATCAAATTGACTTTATAAATAAGTTGCAGATTATAACTTAAAAATGATGAAAAAGCAAAAGTTGGCACAAAATTGTTCTCAGAAATGTTTACAGATTAAGTTCAATTAATGTATCTGTGTAAGAATTCAGGTGACCAGGACAATGGCAAAATTTCCATCTAAAGTCAAGAGTTGACTTTAAGGCCACAAAGAGAAAGACCTTGTTTCTTTAGAACTTTCACTGAAGCTTTTTCACTGAAACAAGTGAAAAAACAAAAGTTGATCTGAGTCAGAGAGAACAGAGAAAGAGATGAGCTAGAAGAAGATTCAACATCATAAAAAGGAACTGTTGTGATAAATGTAATGCTATGTGATTACAAATGCAGTGACAGTTATTATTTACAGTGGAAGTTTAAAATAAGTCTTGGATCAAATATAATGAATGACTTTAGAAGAGCTATGTTGAAATCACCTGTTTTCCCCAGGGCCATAACACACAGGGATTGCCAAGAGAAAGCTATTCTTGAGGCGCTGGCTTGAGATGTGGTGAGGCCCCATGGCCAGTATTTTAGTGTATTTCCTGTTGCTCATGAGTATAACAAGCCAATATCAATATATCAAAAGCCACTAATCTCACACCTCCTATTTCAACCTTTCTACTAGCATTTTTATGCCCTGAGTGCTTTATCGGTTCTGAGGTTTATATGGCCTTGGGCCAAGGACCATCTTTTGATTACATTTTAAAATTTAAGATTTTTTTTCCTTTGGGTCTCAGTTCTTCACAAGTGTAAATCAGGATACAAATCAATGTCCACCTCATATGATTACTCTGAGAATGTAAAAATATATTTAAAACCATAAAGGGCTATGTATTTACAATGAAAGAATTATTATTATTGCTTAAGTGAGGAGAATATTTAAAAAAATATGAAATGATGCTTCCTAGTTTCAAAGTCAAAACTATGTTTTAAAATGGCATCAGAGATATCTGTAGCTTAG